TCTTAGTAGACAATAATATAAGTGATAGATGGCTATAAAAGGCACTGTTGATTATTTAGAGCTAATTTATTTAAATAATGCACCAACTATTGGTTGTGTCAGGTGGCAATAATTGTAAGTAAAATAATGTGCCAAAATAAGTAACAAAGTAATCATTTTAAGTTCTCTGAAGATCAGTGTCTTATACAAATTGCTACTGAAATGTTCCTTTATAAATAAACCTGAAACCTAAAAGCCATAAAAATATTTGATAAACAATATCCCATTTATAAAAACAAATTATTTGACCTGCCAAGTTGCTTGACATTTGTTTTATTGTGAAAATACAAACTTGCATTATATAATCTGACTGTGTAGCAATATCAAGTCAAAGATGTAGAGAACTTTTAGGCCTATAGTCTCTTATCTACATAAAATGGAGTTGTTATTCAGAAAAGTTAAAATTCACTGCAAATTTTCTAACTTTTTTTCCTCTCCATTTTTTTTGGTGGTTGTTATTTGTTTGCTTTGTTTAAAGTACATTATATTATCTGCATTGTATATAGTTCATATATTTGTTTGCATTCTTTCCGGTGATGTTTTACAAGGTATTTGTTTTTAGTTTTTGATTTTTAAATAATGTCGTAAGAATTTGTTTTCGTGACTGCATTTTCAGATAAGTCTGATTATTTACTTAGTAATGTGTTGGCCTGGGAAACAAGTAATAAAAGGACACTTATATTTTTGCATCTTATATATTTTATATATAATTTTTTTTTTCAACAATCTCTCCTTACATTTATAAACAAGAAAGATTTTTAAAAAAATCCTTGTTTTTTGTTTTTAATGAAACCTGTATCAGTGGAAAACAAGCTGCCTAAAAACATAAACACACAATTAGAACTAATGTTTACAGGCTGAATTAAAACAAAATTAAAAAAGAAAAAAACATACATTCTTTAAAAATGAGCTGATATATTGAATAGAATTTCAAGGACATACATATTGATTCACTACTTCTGCAACTTATTGTAATTACAGAAAGGTCAGTAAAATTATCAAAGTCTACTTTATTAGAGTTATTCAATGTTAAAAGTAATTTTTTAAAACTTTTAATAAAAAAACTCAAAAATAGTCAAAGATGACATGCATAACTTATATGAAATCTTTTCAACCATCTATAGTTAGGAAGGTATGACCAGCCTAAAACTTAGAGAAACCAACTTTTCTCTCTAATCCAATTAGCATAAAAGTGTCAGATAAAGCAGATTTACATGAATTTGTCGCAAAGTCATTAACTCTAAAGCTCATAACAATAACAATTTTAGATGAGTTAACATCATGGAATCTATAGAAAATCAGGTGATTGGAGAGAAAAGTTGGTTTCTCTAAGTTTTAGGCTGGTCATACCTTCCTAACTATAGATGATTGAAAAGATTTCATATAAGTTATGCATGTCATCTTTAGTTGATTTTTGACTATTTTTGTAATATACAATGTCCATCCAATCTCATCAGAAAAACAGTTTTTTCAGTGGTTAATGACGACTTACTTTGTTTTACAGACATTTTTTGCTCCACATTATAACCAATCCATTTTTCATTGCCTGTAATTTTTCTTCTCAAAATTGGTTTATTTTTTGTTGTTTGATCAGAGAACTGTAGGTGGAAATGCAACCTCTTCTGTTTGTAGCATGTTTTCAAATGTCTTACAATACTCATATGAGAGGTTTGGAATATATCTGTATGTTCCATATTATGTGACTGATTAATTTTAATCAACATTTTGATCTGATCCTCATCAGTGATTGCAAACCTGCTGGAATGTTCTCAGCCTTCCAGATCAACGTTTCCACTTTCAAACCTAGCAAACCACTTATAAACACTATTTTTAATTATGGCACCATCTCCATGTGATATTTATGGGGCTTTTTTGCAGTTCGTACAGCATTTTTTTCCCTTATTGAAATGACAGAATAAATCTGATTTTCTTTCTTTTTCACTTTTAATGTGAAGACATGTAATAACAATCTACATAGAAATTTCATAGAAAGACATGTTGAAATGCCAACTTTCAAAAAATATATATATATATATATAGGATTTAAGGTCTGAAGAATTTTACAACCCTAATGGAATAAATATAACCTCATGAAATTTTAGTGTTTGTGCCTTTTATAATATACACGCACATGTACGTACATACTTACATACATACAGGATGAGGAGGCAAAAATTGCATAATTTTGGAATTGAAATAAAAAGCCTTATAGTTGATTAATTAGTTTATTTAAAGAAATACCAATGGTTCCAACATACAAATACAAAATGAAAGTAACATTTTATTTGATATATCCTCCTTGTTTCTCAATTACTACCTCTACAACTCTTCTCCAAAAAAAACAGAGAATTCTTCTCCAATGGTATCCATAAGAGTTAATATTTGGATGAGTGCTTCTATTAGTGGCATGTTCTAAAATTCTCCAAACAGCATAATCTAGAGGGTTGAGATCTGAGCTGGTAGAGAGTCAGAAATGTGATGGCCAAAAATCAGCAAAATTGGATTTGCAGAAATTCTGTACTTTTTTGACTATATGGACAGGATCACCATCCTGAGTCCATACAAGTTTCCAATGGGTCGTTGGCTTTGAGCCATGGTAATACATTGTATCTCAGAGTCTTGTAATGAGCATCAGCATTATTTTTTTTTTCACCAGGTTTGTAAAATTTGATAGTCATTTTTTTTTCCCTTAAGAGGCCACAACCCCAAAGACCATAACATGAGCTGGATGCTTTGTTCTGAAAGTGCTCTTGACATGAGCTTTTGAGTATGCAATGTAACAGCATCAGCAGTAAAGATCTTTTAGTCTGAGAAAATTTTCTCAGTAGACTTGTTTCTTTTAAGTAAGAACTTTTTGCATTGTTCCAATCTTCTGGCATTCATGGGTCATGTCAACAAATGTCTTGCTGTTCTTGTGTAAGATTTTTAGTTTTAAGTCATCTTTCACTGCTGTTCTGATAATCTTAGCATCTACCTTAAGTTCAGTTGCTAATTTTCTCATGGATTTCGTTGGGTCTTTTGAGATTTTGGATTTGAGTGTTGATGAAATTATTATTGTGCTTTTATTGTGCCACTTCCAGGCTTTCTCTGAATGGTTTCCCTCATAGTCATTCTCTTCTTCACATTAAAAACTGTCCGTAGGGATAATCCAACTATGCTTGAAATCTTCTGTGGATGAACATGTGCGTTTATCATATCATATACCCTTTGATGTTTGATTTCCTCAACACTCATCTTTTACACAATTATTTGAAAAATTGTGGGTAATTATTATGCAAGGTTATGATAATAAAATGCACCAGGTTTCATAACATTAGTTGAACTGCTTCATGAGTAAAACTTTTAGTGCAAATTTTGCCTCCCCACCCTGTATATGTCATAAATTTCAATCTTGTGCTTTTGAAAATACAGTAAACTTTTGTTCCAACCCTATAAAACCTGACACTCCTAAAACAAGTTTCCTCAATATTAAAAGGCAAGATATTATAAACTGAAACTCATACAATCTATTACTCTTATAAATATATTGGGGAAAATTTGACATCACTTGGTTAATACCAATTTTATTATTAAAACATTGACTTAGATAATAGGTCTTAAGTGTACAAAAGTTGGCATTTCCCCCTTTTTCGCTGAGTGTCAAATTTCTTTCTCACTATAAACCTGATTACCAAATCAGACAAACGAAGATTTGATTTCTAAATCTCTTGTTGAATAACCAAATACACAAGCTTCTTCGAATTCTTTCTTTCCTCTCACCTGTGCACAATATTGTCTCAAAGCAACTCACCTGAATGAAACATTCTTTTACCTTTTTAAAACTCTTATAGCAACAGCAACCTTAAAGATAGTTGTCTTGTTTATCCCAAACAACCATATGATTAAACTACTGCCTCTTGTCTTTGTATGCACAGGACAAGTATTTCAGTGGCATGAGATTTTTTTTTTTCTTTCTTTCTTATTGTCAGTTGGTAAAAACTGATAGATGATGATCTACTTTGCACATTGCCAGTGTTTTATATTTGTTAGGCTTGATTGAGTGGATTAAATTTCTTTCTGTGTTTGCTGTAGTACATTTGCTAAATGTTTTACTTCATCTTTGCATCCTTATTTTTTGTTGACTTTATCTCCTCTCAGTGTGTATGTGTATGTAACTCTGCTTATATTATATATGTTCTACTAATATGCAGTGAATACAAATTGATCAAGAACATAAAATATGGGACTTTGGAATATTTTCCAGCACTTACTATGGACTGTCTAGATCCTTGTTAAATGTCCAAACTAAACCATCCTGCATTTTGTTTCACCAACAGTCATTTTGACATCACCTTTTCTCTTAAATATGATAATGAGATTCAAGATGAAAGGGGAGGCAATCTTGTATAAATCTTTTCTGTTATAATATATTTTTACTAACAATCTCCAGAAGAGGAGAATTGAGATCATACTGTCATAATAAAATATACTGTGTTTGGATTGCAAACAGCCGTATCTAAAATTACTTCTTTATTTTACAGAAATAAATATGTGAAACATTATCTATGATCATTTATACCTGGGATAAAGTCATTTATTTATATTTCAGTTCTTTGCCAAAAGGGAATTGCCACATCTCGTGCATCTTAGCAAATGTGTCAGATTTGATTACAGAAAGAATTTTAAGAGGGAAAGAATAGCATTACTCATCGTAACCCGGTTTTTTGATTATATATTTTGGCTCAAAAGATACTAATTTTTACTTTTGTACAAGCAAGCAAGCAAATCGTTCATTCAAACCAGATGATCTTAACTCCAAGTCTTATTTATTATACTTTATTTTTAATGAACAAAGCCAATTATTTCCTGTCCTTGTTCTTGCAACTGTATGATATTTAAATGAGAATGCTAATTGTTAGCTCACATGTACATATCTTATTTCTTTTTCAGGAACTTGTTGCTATGGAACTAAAGAGGTGATCATGGGAGCAAATGTATCAGCAGATCGGTCCCAACCATCCTCCCGATCGTCCACGCTGACTCGGATGTCTCATGGCTACATCATTAATGATGGCGATGTTGTGGCCCGTGAGAAGAAAAAGAAAGCATCTAAGTTTGCCACTCTGCGGAAGAAGCTCATCCGCGTGCGGCGGCATAGTCGGGCAGTGGATTATTCGAAAGCATTACGTGAGTTGACCTCTACGTGGTCCATTCGTGACCTCAGCTGCCTAGTTGAAGAGTATGAGGCTACAGCCATTCTCAAAGAGCTAGCCATTGCTGCTAACTTGGCACGGCCACTAGCCAACTCTATACGACAAGACCTCTCTACACTTTTTGACTACAAATACTGTACAGATGTGGACTTGATTTATCGAGGAGCATGTTTTCCTGCTCATCGAGCCCTCTTGGTTGCAAGGAGTCCTTTTTTCCATAATTTGCTCTCTCGGTATCAAGAATATGGAGCACAAGTTCCAATTAAACTAAAAACACCAGGTGTCGATGTGCCTCTCTTCTCAGCACTTCTTCGGTATTTGTATACAGAAGAATTCACTATGGAAGGATCCCCGCTGGAGAATGAAGAAATCATAATGCGGCTTACTGAGGAATTTGGGATGCCTAATCCCCTTGAGCAAGACTTGCGAATGATATTGGAGACTGGTGATTATAGTGATGCCACACTTGTATTTACCAACGGATCTGAGAGCCAGGAAAATCTCAGTTCCGAGGCTACATGCTCTGGAGATCACTTGGCTCGTAAACATGAACTGCGGTGCCACAAGGCTATTCTTGCAGCTCGATCACCATTTTTCCGGAATCTGTTGCTGCGCCGAGCACGGTCCGGGGAGGAGATAACAGAACGGACACTGCATACGCCCACTCGGATTGTGCTTGATGAATCCGTCATTCCACGGCGGTATGCCCGTGTCTTATTGCATGCCATTTACATGGACTCTGTGGATTTATCCTTAATTGTACGTGGAAGTACGAGCACGTGTAGTCTTAGTGAAGTGCAAGCTATGGTTGCAGGACGGGCGCATATCACACATGCAGATGAAGCAATGGAAATATATCAGATAGGGCAGTTTCTAGATTTTCCTGTTCTTTCTCAAGGTAAGATTTTTACTTACTCTTTACTCATGTATTTGTCAATTTTTTTTTTTTTTTTTTTTTTCCAGATCATAAAATAACTTCAAGCCTCTTGTTCTTCAAGCAAAATATTAATTAATTGATGCTGAAGAAGATAGTGAATCTTGATGGGAGGCCTGTAGGTCACATTCATTGACAGTACATCCCAGCAGAAGGCCTGTGGGCCACATTCCTTTCTAATCTGTATAATTTAAGAATCACTGAGCATTTATCTGAATTAGATACTCTGATCTTGTGGAAATTAATCATATTTGCCCATCAATCTAGAAACATTTTATTAGTAATGGTTGTGGTGGTATTATCAGCCTTATATAAAGACAACAGGTATTTGTGAAGGTGGTTACTAACTCCTTAGGCTCTGAAAATAGCTACTTGATATTAATCTTACCATAGAAGTGTCTTCAACAAATCTGCAAAGTATGTGATCCTTTGATATAAATATTGACTTCTACTTCATGGCTGACACCTATTCTATCTTGTCAGTGCACTTCAGCTATTGCTGTTAAGTCTAAATGTAACTAGTGTTCTATAGTGTATGTTGCTATGACTTATAATCAGTGGTAAGAGATTTTACAGTAGAAAACATTGAGGATGTCTTTGGAAATATTAATGATAATCACTGTGAGCAACACAATTCAAATGGCTTGCAGGTTGGACAAGGTCTTCAGTTTTACTGCTAGATGGGATGTGGTCTTCAGATTTGTTTTGTAGAGGGATGATGTCTTCAGTTTTATTGGTAGATAGGACGGTGTCTTCAGCTTTGTTTTTATATTAGGGATAGCTTCTTTAATTTTTGGCTCTTTTGGTATGAATTGTTGCAATGATGTTTAATGTTATTTTTCTCTGAATTTCTGTGTTGAAGTGTGGTTACTAATATACGCTTATTCCCCACCCTACTCTCTAACCATTTTTTTTTATCTCTTGATAAAAAAAACAAAGGTAAATTGTCTGAAAGAATCCATGCATAATGTTGGCTCTCCTTTCGTCCTTGACTACCAACTCATTTGTCTTCGTTAATCTTAATGAACTGTTAATTAATGCTTCAGAAAAAGCCTAAGTTTAATATTTTAGGGAGGGCTTCAGCGACATAATTGCTGAGTTTACTCATAAAACAAATACAATGATGTCACCTTTTTATAAATGTTTGCTTTTGACACCATATGAAAAAAATTAAAGTAATCCAAAAAAAAAAAAAAAAAAAAAATGAACCTTCAGAAACAAAAACCCTTTTAAAATGATATGTTGATGTAAACAAGTGGAGGAGAATAGTACAAAAAAAAATTCACTCATGCAGTGCAAAAACCATCATTTTTGTTCCAACATATATAGATAGTAGTGAAACTTGATTATGCCTTTGACACCCCTGAGTACTGTTTGGTGGGTTTTGTTTTTTTTTGACACCCCTGAGTACTGTTTGGGTTTGTTTTTTTTTGTTTTTTTTTGTCGTTATAATTATGCATATTTTTCTTTTAAACTAGAAATTTAAAATTCAAATAACCACCAAGTTTGAAAATTCAACAAAATTATTAAAACTCAAACTGTACTTTAAAATGAACTTTAATTTCTCAGTCTGGCATACAATTTTTCATAAGGGCTAAAATTTAATGAAATTATTTAAAATTCAAATTTGACTAAAAATTTTAGTTTAAAAATAAATTTGAAAAAAGTAACAGAAATAATAATTTATTGGAAATTTTAAAATCTAAAGATGAATGATAAAATTATGAAACCATTACAGCTCTATTTTTAAAGTAAAAAATGAATAGAACATTTTAAAGAATATTCTACAACATCAGAACAATGCAAATTAAAGACGAATGTTTGTATTACTCATCTGATTTTAATATGATTTGAGATGTACAGAAACAAATATACTTGCAGTGATCATCTGCATACTATCAATTTGTTCAGATAAAAAAACTCAAATTTGTAAGTGATAGGCACTGAGTGTTTCTACTAACGAATTTACCAAGAATATCTTATCAAATCACTTGGCCAAATTATTCGAGCATTCTTAATCATGAATAAGACTAATTCTGAAGCTTTGTGCTATAAATGGAGGACAGCTCTCCTGCCTTCAGTAGCTATCAGACCTCCTAACTGCAACTAATTTAAATTGATCAAACCTAACATCCACTTAGAGCAACATACAAAAAAAAGAGATGGATTTAAGAGAAGAGTGTTTATATGTCATGACATTTTCTTGCTTTTGGTGAAGCAGGGGATAATAAAGGATTCTTTTAAAAATAGAAATTATTTTGTTTTGCAATAATTTTTCTTATAAAGCTGATACTTCTACATGCAGCCAATCTACAGTTTTAAGTGGTAAATTTGAGTCTATGATGCAGGAAGAGAGAAAAATGAAAAAGGAGTTGGACTGATACTAGATCAAAACATGAAGAAATGCATCATGGGTTACTGTCAGCTATCTGAAAATTCTTGTAATTAAACTGAAAGGAAAGTCTTTCAACATATCTATTATAATTGTGTATGCCCCGACAGCACACAGTACTGAAGAAATCAAATCTTTTTACTCTATGCTAATGAATGTAGGCTCAATGTAAATCACAAGAAGCTATAATTATCATGGGGAACCTGAATGCCAGTAGGCAAGGAGAAGGCAGTGGAGATAGCTGGCAAATTCGAACTAGGAATCTGCAATGAACGCATAGAAAAATGGGTCTAATGGTGCACAACCAATGAGTAGGTAATAGCCAACACCTGGTTCCAAGAACATCTGAGACAATTATGGAAATGGAGAAGACCAGGAGAAACTAAAAACCAAATCAACTCAATAACTGTCAACAAGAGATTCAGGAATTCAGTTGTTCACTACAAAACCTATCCAAGTGCCAACTGCAGAAATCACCACCTCCTTGTTATATGTAAACTAAGGATGAAACTATAGAAACTGAAGAAGCTTAATGCAGCATCCAAATTGCAATACAACAGACTCCTTAACAACCAGGACCTGAAGGAAAAATATATGGACAGAGTGAAAAGAAGATACAAGGGGCAAAATGGGAATGGAAAGTTGAAGTAGGACACACTAAGAGATGTTTTAGTGATATCAGCAAACTAGATCATTCCAAAGAAAAATGAGCAAAGGAGAGAAGAAAAAAAAACAAAAAAAGAAAAACAAATGGATGACAAATGAGATTCTCAATATGATGCAAAGGAGACAGAAAACAATACCAAGATATGGAACAGAATACAAAAACTACACAAATAAATAAGGAACATATGCAGACAGGCTAAAGAAGAATGACTCAATGAAAAATGCACAGAAATAAAAAGATTGAGTATCACTGATAAGGGAGCTATGCATAAAAAATAAGAGAACATGATAAAAGACCTAGTCATCAACAGGCTACATAAAATCCAAGGACGGACAACCAATATTAGAGAAAGAGAAAATAATTCAGAGATGGAACGAACATATAGGAGAACTCTTCCATAACAAAAGAGAACAACTGGCAATACACAGAAATACCAACGGATCGGAAATATTAAAATCGAAGTGGAAGCTGCACTGGCTAAATTGAACAGAAACAAAGTGGCACGGCCAGGCAGAATTGTAGTAGAGGTGCTGGCAGCCTTAGATGACTGTGGTATAGACAAGATCACAGAAATAATAAATGAAATCAACAGTGGGGATACGCCAGAAGACCTAAGCAGATCTATTTTCATAGTACTACCTAAGAAACCAGGTGCAAACAAATGTGAACTCCACCAGACAATCAGCCTAATGAGCCATATAACAAAACTTATCCAACTTCTGACAACTAGAACATGCAGCAAATCAGACCAAAGATATGACAAGAACAGTGCAAGTTCATCAAAGACACTAGAATGAGGAACGCGATATTCATGCTCAAAATGTTAACAGAAAGAGCAATACAAATGCAGAAGGACATGTACCTGTGTTTTATAGACTAGGTAAAGACGTTCGACAAAATACACCACAAAGATCTATTAGAGCTTCTCAGTAACCTTGACATATTTGGGAAAGACATTAGAATAATCAAAAATCTATACCGGCAGCAAACTACATTCAGACCGACAGAAAATGAGTGCAACAGATATACAAAGATAGAAAGAAAGATGTCTTCTCACTGGATTTTTTCAACTTGTACAGTGAAGCAGTTCTGAAAGAACTAGAAATTCTACCAGGATTCATCATTGGCAGCCACAATATGCAGATGACACGATGCTGATAGCAAGACAGAAAGGAAACTACAAACCTCCTACAGTAGTTAGTGAAGGAAAGCAAGAAGAAAAGACTATGCATAATTATCAGGAAAGGATGAGTCCAAAATGCAAATTACAGGTCAGGAATACTAAAATCAAGCAGGTACAGAAATTTAATTATCTGGGAAGTGTTCTAACAGAGGATGGAAATTGCAACACTTAGATCCAAAGACATATTGGAATGGTCAAAGATGCATTCCAAAAGCTAAACAGAGTATTAAGAGACAGAAAAATTTTGTTAGAAACAGAAAAAAGAGTACTGAACTATTATGTGATATCTGTCCTCCTATATAGCAATGTATGCTGGACAGTCCCCTCAAAGATGAAGAAAAACTTGAAGCAACAGAAATGTGATGCTACAGAAATTTGCTGAGCATACCATGGACTGAACATGTGAGCAACAATAAGGTTTTTGAGAGAATGGAAATGAAGAGGAAACATTAAGAGCTACAAGGGACAGGAGTAAGTGGAGGACTATGATTTTCCTTGTCTTGAAGGGACATAGCCCATGAAAGA